ATAAATTAAAAGTTAATTTTTTATTTTTTATTATAAATTTATAATAAAAATATATTCAATATATTTTTAATTTATATCTTTAAACTATAAATTAAACAAACTTTTAAAAAATTATTAACTTATGTTGGCGTTTACTTTTCTTTTTTTAATAAAGTACTAAATCCGCAGGCCAAAAAGCTAAAGTTTTTAAGGGTTAATGCCATCTATCATCCTTCTACTATAAAAAATAATACAATTTAAACCTTTTATTATCAATTTACCTCATGTTCTCCCTCTACTATTAACTAACTTCATCTGTCCTCCCTCTATTATTCAGAAACGTATCAATGTCGTCCCTCCATTCAATTTAGACTAACGATGCCATTTATTGACAATTTAACAGCAAAGGGTCACAGGTTTAGGCCTTTTTATTTATTTATTTTTTTTCCACCCATGCCTTGTGAGCCCTACCTTTATCGCATCATCTCCTTAAATCATAAGAAATCGTCAAATCAAGAATCCTTAAATCAGTTTCTTCTCCCTAATTTATTTCTTCCTTTCAAAACCCACCATATGAGAAGCATTAACCCACCCAAATCAGAATCCCCAAATGAGAAATCACTTTCTTTTCCCTAATTTCTTTCTTTCTTTTAAGACCCACCGTTTGAGAAGCATCCTTATCTAAACCTTGTTTGAGAAACCATGAGAAACCCTAGAACAAAAGTATCAATTCCATCAACAATCAACAAAAAATCATTAGGCATATTCAAGAAGTTTGGGTGTTGACAATGTCTTGGAGAGACATTAAGGGTTTGGTTCTCCTTCTACCCCACAATCACACTTGAATTCTTAGCATATTGGATTTTGCTTAAACCCCATAATCATGCTTGAATTCAAGAATCCAAACATAGATAATCATAATTACATAAGAAAATCTCAATACTTAAGTTGGAAAGTGGAAATAGCTAAGTCTGAATATAATCTGGAATCTAGAAAAGAGAAAGGATAACAAAGTATAATTGAATTGAAATCTACAAAAGAGAACGCAATTACCAAAGATTCAAGATGCTTATCAATAGAAGAAACTTTGTCTTTAATCACAACTAAAGCATCAACAATTGCAATGAAGGCGCAGTAATTCCCTATCAGCACCTCTTTTATTTGCCTTTGAATCCTTTTCGCATCCATCTGAAGAAGCTCTATTTCCTTTTTAAAAACGAATTAAACAAAAATCAATCACAAAATTCTCTAGAAATTTGACATATTCAACCACACAGACTGCATGGAAACAAATAAGACCTTATGGAGGTGATTGAGAGTGAACGAGAGGAGCTCGAAAACGTAAGGCTGTTAAGCAGCGGAGGTGAGAGACAAGAGACTATCCATGACCAATGTTGGTGACGACGACGGCAACATATTCTCTCCATTTTTCGAGTGCATTTTCATCTTTTACAAGCTCTGAATCGAGTCTTCCATCACAAAGAGGAGCAGATTTGTTACAGAGTTGTGTGTAGAGCTTCTTTGCGATCCATTCAGTTTGGATACGAAAGATGAGTGGGGCCCACAAGGTAGGGTGAAAAAAAAAAGATTAAAAAAGGCTTAAACATATGGTTGTTTGTCAATAAATGGTATCATTAGTTAAAATTGGATGGAGGGATGACATTAATACATTTTTAATTGTAGAGGGAGGATAGATGAAGTTAATTAATAGTAGAAGTAGAACATGAGGTAAATCATAGTAAAAGGTTTTAATTGCATTATTTTTTATAGTAGAGGGATGATAGATGGCATTAACCCAATTTTTAATTAGTCCTTTCATCATTGATGGGACATTAATAAAGTAAATGTACAGTGGCCTAATTCGCTGTTTCGACCTACAAAAATTTGGGAGTCCGAAGGGTTTGTTTTGTTGAGTTGTAAGTTTTGGGGTGGCTATTGGTACGTTTTAAATGGATAATATCATTTTTTAATATAATTATTTATTATATTTTTATATTATATATTTTTTAAAATTATATATTTTTTATTTTTAATAAATTAAAAAAATATAATAATTAATTAAAATTAAAAAATATGATATTAATAATTGAGGATGTAATAATAATATCACTTATAAATTTTGAATATGGTGCGATGAAGTTTAAAAGTATTTATTTTAAAAATATTATTTATGTTTTATAAATATAAATTTTTGTTAGAAATAAATTTAAAATTATTTTTAAAATTAATTGTAAGTAAGTTTTTGCAAAAGTTATAGTTTGGACGTGTACATTTTATAAAATTTGTTTAAAATTTATTTAAAAACTTAATTTAAGTATTTTTAATAAAATTTTAAACTTATAAGAAA